TATCACGGCTTAAATGCTCTTTCCTGCAGACCAGTTAACTATTGCAAGGGGATCTCTCAGTAAATCCTGAATTAAAATCGCAGATAGTCGAAAGAAAGTGATATTCTTCGCTAAACTGAATTCTGCGAGAACTATTTCTGACTGAAGATTTTCATCGTACTTTGCGAGGCCGTTTCAGCCGATTTTCTTGTAGATTCTAAACTGGATACTACCGGGAAAATGTTTTACAAGGGAAGGTAACTGCGTTTGTAAAATGACTCGCTGAAAATGTCTAAAATTTAGTTCACGCTCATAAAGGATTCGGCGGGGATATTTCGCACCGTGGTCGTAACGGGAAGCACGTACATTGTGCGAAGCACCTTCAGGTCTGCTAAAGTTGCCCGAAATTTAGGCAATTTTCCACCGCTTGAGAGACCAATATTATGATGAGTTGATATGTTGATATTAAAAAACAAACAAACAAACAAAAATGAAACGAAACGAACGCCTACCTCGGTAAATGCCATGGTTGTTAATCTTTTTGGACCTTTTAGATAGCTTTTATACTGTGAAAAGATGAAGGTAAACGGCCGACCAAGATCGATCTTGTGCATGGTACTGTCTTGTTTTCTCTGACAATGACACTAAAATCGTATCTGATTGAAAACAGCGCAGTGGAGCATTTCATGTCAAGAGAGAGGGTACCTTCATCAGAGTTTATGAGAATTAGCATAGCTCTAATTTCTTTCATGCATTTGCATTTCCGCCCCTAAATTTATCATCATTGCCATCCTTTGTAAAGCTTCTGCTAAAAGTCTTATCGCCGTTTTGTGTTTCTGCACTGTGCACCAGTATTGCTCTCCCTTTTGGTGGGAAATACTACATATTAAAAACATTTGTCGTTAAAAGCTAACCAATTTACGCACGTACGGCGCTGATGAAACTTTTTCTTACGGGTTTGACATTTGATTTTAAAATTGTTGCTCGAGAAGTGCTGTAAATGTAGCAGCAAAGAGAAGCA